ACCACAGGGGATGTATGGTTTGCGGGGTGCCCCCAGCCGCAACGTGGCTCCCCACCCTTCCCTCTCCTGGTGGTGGCAGTGGAGCAAACCACCATGGCAAGCACAGGTGAAGCACCTGTCACCCACCACCTGTTTGCAGCAGTGCCAGTTGCTCAGGGCAGGCTGTTGTGGGCCAGGTACATGGGCAGCAGCAGTGGGAAGCAATGAACCACTCTAGCCCGGCCCAGCCTGACCCCATGGCCCAGGAGTGCAGCCTGGTCTGGCCCAGCCCCACAGCCCAAAAGGCATAGGCAGTGACTGGTCTGCAGCAGCCCACCCCAAGTGCCTGGCACCACCGCAAAGCAGACAGCAGATGACAGGTGCCTCACCTCTACAATGCCTGGCAGCAAGGGCTGCAGCTCCCTGCTGGGCAGATCTAGCAGCACTCCATCACAGGATTTCACACTGCTACCCCTTTCTCAGCCAGCCAGAGTAGTGATAGTGCTCTTGCTAGGGAGGAGAGAGGCGGGGCCAACCCTGTTTAGCTGAACAGACAGCACAGCCCAATCTAGCCCAGGGCTGCAGAGCATGCTGGGATGTCAGGGGACTCTGTTTTAACTTAAACCAGGAAGGGGTCTGGGGCACAAGTTCCATAAACTGGTTTGACCTCAATTGGCTAAGTCTGATACAACATTCAATCAGGTTTATCTCAAACCAGTTTCAGCCATTTTGAAACTGGTTTGTGTGCACTGAACTTATGTTCTGTTACAGGTTTAAACCAGTTTCTGATCACTTCAACTGGTTTATATGTAACTTCTGTCCCTAGCCTATGAAACTGGTCAAAGTTTTTAGTCCACCCATGCTCCTGCCACAGAGATCACAGAATCATGCCTCTGTATTCTCTAACTAGGACCTGGACTTCCCTCTTAAAATTTCAAGAAGTTTTTTCAATAATTATGCTCTTAGGGCAGGTGTGGGCAAAATAAGGCCTGTGGGCTGGATCCGGCCCACCAGGTCATCTATCTGGCCCATGGGGCCCCTAAAAAAATTAGAAAAGTAATATTTATCTGCCCCTGGCTGCCTATGAAAGATGACAGGAGCCAGAGGCAGTAGGACCCAGGGTGAGCCAGAGGCAGAACTAAACAGCTGCAGAAGCAAGTCCAGCCTGGCCCAGCCCCTCATCCAGCCCCCCCATTCCAGGCCCCATCTGGAAGCCTCTGCCTAGCCGGGCTTTCTGGCCTGGGGATCTTCCTGCCTCTCTGCACTGATGGAAATACAGATAAAAAGCAACGGGGAGGGAGGCAGCTCCTGTAATCCCAGTGC